AAAAAGGATTTATTTTTACGATTAAATTATTGTTGCAATTTTAGAGCAAAAAAAAACAGGTCAAAAAAAATCGTACTGAATCATATATTATAAGGAATATTATGACCCAAGGTGAGTTGAAAACTAATCATCGTACTTAGCAAGTTTTATTCGTAATTTCGTCATCTGAATCGATTAAAAATAAATCATTCCATTAATTTATGTATTTTTTAGAATTTTAGTACCTGATGCTGAAGAAAACGAGAATATCGTACTCAATAAAACATTATTTAATATATAATGACCCGAGATGCATTATAAATCAATCATCAACAATCGTAAACAATTATTTGGAATTATTTCATCCAGCTAGGATAAAAAAAAACTATTCTACATACTAAACTGTTATTTCCAATTTCCAATACACAATGGAATAGAAATAAATCATCCCACCGACTTAAACATTATCATGAATATAATCAATTGATACGTATTAAAACTTAATCATCAAAAGTGTTAAAATAATATCCAGAACTTTTTCATCAAACTGGACTAAAAAGGATTTATTCTAGTGAGGAAACGATTACTTTAAAATTTGATGATCCAAAATGGATCATCGCACGTTGCAAATTTTTTGCAATTTCGTCATCAGAATCAATTAAAGAAGAATTGTTCCATTAATTTTAGCATTTTTCCCAATCTCAGCATCAGAAGTTTAATAAAAACACATCGTCGCGCTCACTCAACATTGTTTAAAATATTATGACGTGAGACGCATGGGAAATCAATCATCAAAAGTGTTAAACTATTATTTGGAATTATTTGACCCAACCTTATTTAAAAGAATTAGTGTATCGATTAAACTGTTAGTTCAAAAGTTCGAACACAAATTTGAATCCAAATAAATCATACTATTCTATTCAATATCATTATGAATATAGCGAACTAACATGCATCGAAAACAGATCATCAAAATTTTTTACTTATGTTTTAGAATTTTATCATCCAACTGTAGTCAAAAAGAATTTATTCTAACAATGAAATTATCATTTTAAACTTAGAACACAACAGAAGTTAAAAGAATCTCAGTGAGTCATATATTATTCAAAATATCATGACCCAAGGTGAATTCAAAATGAATCATCGTATGTTGCTATTTTTTTTTGCACTTTTGTCATGTAAGTCGATTAAATAAAAATTGTTCCATTAATTTCGGTATTTTTAATAATTTTAGTGCCTGACACTGGAGAAAAAGGCAGTGTCGTATTTAAGAAAACATTATTTGAAGTATAATGATTTAGCATACGTGGAAATTCGGCCATCAACACTCCTATACCATTATTTGGAATGATTCCACCGAAATCGAAAAAAAAGCGTTTCTTTTAACGATCATGCTGTTATCGCTAACCTTTCCAACGAACTAACTTGAAAAGAAATTATTCCATCGACTAAATATTATTTTAAGTTTCACCGTTCGATCCGAAATACAAAAAAAAGTATCGCACTGAATCATGATAGTATTTCTAAGATAATGAACGGAAAGATTGAAACTCAATCAAGAAAAATGTTACAAAATTATTCAGAATTTTTTTGTGCAATTATATTAGAAATGATTTATTTTTTCCATTACATTATTATTTGAATTTTAGAGCACAGAATGACTTAAGGTGAATTGTACTCAATTATGTATTACGGGGAATATTATGACCCAAGGTGAGTTGAAAACTAATCATCGTTCTTAGTATGTTGTATTCGTAATTTCGTCATCCGAATCGATTAAAAATAAATTATTCCACTAATATATGTATTTTCTAGAATTTCAGCACCAGAAGCTGAAGAAAAGACAGTATGGTACTCAATAAAACATCATTTAAAATATAATGATGCGAGATGCATTGGAAATCAGTCGTCAACAATTGTAAACAATTATTTGAAATTCTTTGACCCACCTTTATTTAAAAGAATTAGTGCATCGATTAAACTGTTAGTTCAAAAGTCCGAACACAAAATTCAATCCAGATAAATCATTCTATTCTATTAAACATCGTTATGAATACAGTGAACTGATATACATCGAAAAGAAATCATCACAATTGTTTAATTATGTTTTGGAATTTTATCATCGAACGGTACTCGAAAAGAATTCATTCTGATCATGAAATTATTATTTTAAATTTAGAGCACCAAATGGATTAATAAAGAATCGTGCTCAATCAGAGTTTCTTGAGAATATAATGACCCGAGGTGAATGAATAATGAATTATCGTGCTTGATAGGTTTTATTCGCAATTTCTTCATGTAAGTGATTTAAAAAAACGAACTGTGGCGCTAATTCATGTATCTTTTAGAATATTAGCACGTGTAGAGGAATGAAAAGTGAACATCGTGTTCAATTAAGTATTATTTGGAATGGTATAAAGCAAAATGAAGTGAAATTAATCTTATTTAGAATAAACCAACACAATTGAACAATCACAAATTTGTTGATGACTGATAGATTGAAAAAACGGACAAAAAACTGAAGAAATAATTATATATTGAATTATTTGCTTTTCTTATTTCGATTATTTAAACCTTGGAAATATGACAATCAATAAAATTAATCCTTATTGCTCATAACACTTTTATCTTATCAAGGTTCGTGTTTTTTCCAATAATAATTATCTTTCTCTATAATTAACTTATTCCAATATAAAATAGAACTAACAACTTATTAGAATATTGTTGTTGGTTTTTTTTACACTAGTCATGATAATATCTCTTTTATCTCTAGATATATAACGCGTTGAAATTCTTCGTAATATTATTGATAATCTTCATATTAAAGCAAATCTCTTTTCATTTTATTATGTTTATAAACGATTTGATTGTGTCGGATAATGTGTTGGGAAGATTAGTATAAGAGGAACACCAATGAAACAAATGTTATCTTATGGTATGTTTTCAATAGAAGAGATAATTTATATCAATCAATATGTATTCATGGAAACATTTTTCGTTCAATATCATCTTCTTTTTTTTTAATTAAAATTATTTTTTTATAGGACGTTGGTGGTATATAGATGGATTACGTTTATAAACTAATCAAAACTTAGATAAGTAATGGTTAATAAATATTAAAAAGAAAGAACATTTTCTAATGTTTAATTATTGTTATTTATATATGTGCTATTTAAATAACTAGATCGTTTATCAACCTATGGAAGAATAATATTTAGATGAAGATGAAATATATGATCGTCAACGAACGTATTCATTAACTAATTAATGTATTATTTATCTGTTATTTTGCGTTTGAATAAATAAACCAGTTTACCGTCTGATAGGATGATTTAATAACAGTCAACAATGGAATAGACATCGGAATAGAATATTGGTCTCCTTCGATATATCGATAAAGCGCACTCTTGGACCTAAAAGATGAACAATTTAATATAAGATTCATTTTGTTGATTGAAACTAATTTATTTTTATCTTAACGAACATATTCAACAAATAATTCAATCTAAACGTTTATTTAATCATCAGCATTCTATTTAGATTTCATTCCATCATAAAGAATAATATATATTGAGACTCATTTTATTTCTTAATCTATCTTATGTATTTATCATTTACCTCGAATATGATAAGAAATTGTTTTTTATTTAGATCTTCATTTTTTTTCGCTAAATAAAATAAACAAATAAAATAATTTTTTATTTCTTCATTTCATACTGATTCTATTAGTTAACAAACTCAAATAAAACTAACAAAAAAATACATATGAAATATATTTTTCATATATATATGACACATATATATATATTTCACACAAACTACATTTAAATCATCAACTCTCTTATAACAGTATATTACAATAATTAATTACAATATTGTATTAGAATTTCGACCTTCGACTAGATCATACGATTTAGATCTAGAAAATAAATAAATAAATAACATTTCAACCTTTTTGAATGTGTAGGTGTGGGTTAGCTGGTTTGATAATATAGTACTAATTGGAGATTATCTCTATGAAGAAATGAATAAATCGAAAAAATAAGGTGTTTATTGAATAGATCTCATCGAGATCCATATGGATAGCTATGTTTAGAAATGGAAGAGCATTGCTGATACATTACATCAGGTCGGATGGTGAGAATTGGTGAGTTAAGATAAAATGGTGGATTTTCTGTGTGATGGGATGAGACAATCAAAAGGGTAAGATGTCCATCGGTTAGAGCTCGTCAAGATCGATCTGGATAGTTATTTAGGGCGAATCCTTTGAGGAAAATATCCTAGGTATAAAGTTCTGGTCTAGTAGTGGAACTCGTTGTGATTTTCCATAATTATCATTACTAAGCAGAAAAGTAGATGTCGTACCAGTGACGAGTACGTTCAGTAGAAAAATAATTTAGCTCAACTGTATTGAAATGTAACTCAAAGACGAACAGATTTATCATCAAATCAGATTGACAAGATCATTGATTCGTTGTTATGATAAATTCAATAAAAAGTAATAAAAAAAAAGAGTTATCCTTTCTCGTTGTCCATCTGATTATATTAACTACATATTGAATCTTGTATCTTTATGTTTGTTTTATTATTGTTTTTTTCTTTTTATTGTTTATTTCATTCCTGTTGGATAACATGTGATAAGATCTATTAAGATTATTATTCTAAATGATTTTTTTTAATCAATAAAGGGTTTATGATATTTAACATCATATTTTATATATAGAGGAAATAAATATTCTTTTGAAAGAAAGTAACAAAAAGATCTTCTTGCAGATTGGACGCAGGAGAGTCCTTTGTCTTGTAAGATGAGTCCTCGAACGAAAGAACTTTTTTTATGTTCTGTTCTAGGTCTTGCAGAAGAGGATGAGTGAGTGAAAATGTTCTATAGAATATAAGGCAGAATGGAGAAAAACATTCTGTGATATATTTTGATCGATAATCTGATCCGTAGATCTATTTTGTCTGTTTATCCGTGATTTTATTTGAAACGAATTAATCAATGATAAATTTTTCTGTGATGTTTATTCCTCATCTGATTGACTAAGAGCACCACCAAATAGATCATTATGTTCCTAAAAATAAAAATAAATATTTAAACAAAAACAAAAAAAAAATAATTTCTCATTGTCTTCATACCAAGCGGATTTTTTCTATTTGTTTACTAACTTCTATTTGTTGATCATTATCATAAATAACTTTGCATTCAACCTCATAATCAGCTCTTGAAAAATAATTCAATTATTTTTTTTTTTGTTAAATCAAAACTCAAATCAAGTTTCTTACCGAAATAAATGTCTTACTTCTTCTCCCATTTCATCTCTATTTACTTTACGAAAATGTCGTTTTCGTACATTTTTTAATGGCAATGTTACTAAAACTATTAAATAAATAACAACAAAAAAAGTTTTATTGATTTAAATAAAGGTATACATCCATGTGGTCATTGAAATTTTATTTCTTTATCTTTTTACATCCTCAGTTGAACTATAAGATCATCCGGTAATTGACAAACAATAATCTAAAATTTGATTTTTATTTAGAAATAAATAAAAATGTTTGCTTATTTGATCAATATCATCTATTTTATATAAAGTTTTTCGATGAAATGTTTTATATGTTTCTATTATAGATGGTAAATCATAGAGTGTACCTTTAAAAACAGTATCATCAAATTAAACACGATCACGTCTTCGTTCAGGATTTAAATCAATAAAAAGACGTTAACGAATTTTTTCATGACCATAATCAATAAACTGACGTAAGCGTCTTGAATATTCATCCCTAGAAAAATTAAAACAATCTTGACAAAGATTTATTGAATTGAAAAGAAAAAAACGATTAGTGATGGCATTCGAAGAATAAATTGGTGTTTAAGTTCAAATTGTTCTTCATTTTTCTCCTTTTTTGTTATTATTGTTGTTGATATTGTAGATATGCTTGACATATGAAACAATTTACAGTTTATTATTCATTGTTTTATTTTTCTAAAGAATAGATTTATTAATAAGATAATAAAAGAAAAAAAGATAATTTGTGCCTTCGTTTAGCTCTGTTTACACTAGTAAAAGATTGATAATCGAGAAAGATCCATTAAGAGAGCGTCCATGAGGCCATCAAGAAATCGAAGCACTCGTCAAAAAAATTTTTTTTGATTTTTTGTTTTCATTTTATTCAGCATCATCAAAAACCTCTAAATCCAAATTTTTAGCGCATTTGATTGAGCTGGTGAAAAGTTAGCTCAATTTTATTGTCGATCACTGACGATGATATTTGGAGAATACTTGCAAAAATCATCTCTAAAAAGGCGGGTTTTTTAAGATAACAAAAAATTAACCAAATGTTTACTGTAATATACCAAAAGATAGTGAATTGAACGCTGAACAAAATGAGCTATTTATATATTATATTTATATGGAGTGATCGATAGTTATTTATGAAATACTGTTCATGACTAGTCATTTTTCGGGCGAAAAGTAGGTGGATTTTTTCCAGTATATCGACTGCCATTCAGTCATTTTTAGGACTTCCACGCTCAATTTGAGATATGTTGTACAGTTTTTTCTCCTCTACAAAATGATTAAAAAAAAGCTTTAAAAAAAGTTCGGCTTTGATCCGAAAAGTGGCTCACAATGTTGACCAACTAGACAGTATTTATTGATAAAATTATTGTAAATATTTTTTTTTGATGAAAAATCGAACTTTTCATAGATTGTCAAGTATCTACAGTGCTTTTCATATAATTACGATATATTTCGATGAATATAT